GTTTATGTGTTGTATAGCTATAAAACTGGCTGATTTGGCATCTTAGGCTCACCTACAAAGCTATGAGTTGGTAATTATTCCACTACAGTTACACCTCTGTAAACCTGCTTCTACTCCAAATAAGCAATTTTATTCCTTTATGATGAGTCAGGTAATGAACAATACAGTCATTTTTAAACTAAGACAGCGCATCCATAGGAAGGTCTGCAGTTTTAGCCCCAGAAAGATAGCCTGCCATAGAGCACACATACTGGGAAGAGCCCTCCTTTGGCCACCCCTACCAGCAAGTCTGGCTGCAGGGACAGCTGAGCAGCTTCCCAGTGCTTGTGCCTACTAAGAAGGGATTAAACAGCAGTGAGCTGGAAAAAAACAACCACAGCCTGAACCCCAGTCACAAAACCATTCTGCAGAACCCTACTGGCTTTGTCTCTGCTCATCAGAGATGAGTTCTCCAACAGCTGAAGCACGGGATCACATACAGCAGTGCGGATCCAGCGCCCTGTGACAGCGAGACAGCCAGTAAGGAGGGAGCAGGCAAGCACAGCAGCTACTGCTCCCTCATCTGATGGGCACCTAAATCCACATCAACATATTAATGAATAAAGAAGAGTCCATCAAAGTCTAGCAGGATTTGCCCTGGCTGTCCCATCAGTTTGATGAATGAACATTATCCCTTAAGCACTACCACCACAGCCTTCAAGCGATCCTAATTCCCCACCATACTTCACTCGAGGGTCAGAACTGCTCTTCTTAAATTTTCTTTGAAAGCACTGGCCTGTAGAATCAGCACGACACCAAAACAGCAGCCTATAAATTCTTGAACACCATGCATGCCAGACCTCATCTCCAGCAGAGCTTGGATGCGCACTGTACAAGCATCACACGCAGGAGCATCTTAACACGTTGCGTTCAGCACAGATCAAACAGCCCTTCAAGTATAACTGCATGCTAAGTGACAGCTATGGAGCTGAACTCCGTAGCTGAAAATTAAGAGCCAGTACAATAGAGCATGTTATCAGAGGTTTGGACAAAAGGACTCTGTATGAAAGCTCAACAGACTCAAGCCAGCACTGAGAGATAGGTCCACGAAGCCTTGACAACTTCAGGAGCTCCCTTCTGAATGACTGTTACTACTGATGTGGCAAGCACACCCGATTTTAAGCAGCAGAGTATTCCAGCTGATTTCAAATTACACACAGTACAGTTCGCAAGATCAAAACGTTTATGGGTAAGCGAACAAAAGGCAATTCATATGATCTTTACAGTGAGCTCACTTGGGTTATTCTACACATTACCTGTGCATCTCAAAGAGCACAACAACGTGAAAGATCTCATTTTCTGCTAATTGGACAAAAGCACAGTTTTTCTTTTTCTTATTGGGACATCTCTCCTTGATGCCCGTAATTTAATAATAAAAAGATTCCCACCTCCAGCCATAACCACAATCCACAGCTCTGGAGCCAAGCACCCCGCTGCACCACCCTACGGACAGAACACAAAGGCTGACCTTAGAGCCCAGCCATTACAGCCTCCCCACGACAGACCGCCTCGATATTTTTTACCTTCCCACTACAAACGTTTAAATAACTCCACCAAAGCCACCAACCACCACCTTCCTGCTAAACGCTCCCTGGGGCCACTCTGCTGCCAAACTGTTCCTGCAGCAATGCCAGGCAGACCGGGACATTTTGTAACTGGTGTTACTGCGTCACCTTTGTTCCACAACGCAGCCCACACTGCACCTCCTTTTCCCCACGCACCATGGGACACTTCAGCCCACAGTGTTGGGGCTGCACAGCAGCGCTGTGCCCCTATATGCTCCTACAGCTGTTTCCAAGGTAACCAGTGCAGAGCCATATACAAGGGAAAGAAGAAAACAGCAGCAACACAATCCTGTGATATTTCCACTTTTTTGAGTTGCTGACTCCCCCCCTTCCCCTCCAGCTGCCCTGTGATTCATGCAAGGGTCAGTAACTGGCTTCAGAACATCAGGCTTTCTTAAGGAGATGCCTAGATTTTAGAACTAAGGATAAGGCATCATACCAGGGTTTTAAGGTATCAGTCAAACGTTCTGATTTTACTGAGGAAAACCACCCGGGGGAGGAATGGAATTGATATCAACAAGCTAAATTTACACCCAAATCCTGCATTCCTTCGTAGCCAAAGGCGGCAAGCGCGTCAGGTTCAGCACAGGGTGCCTGCCCACCACTGAGCCCCACGTTACACAAGTGTGTGCAGCCAGATAACATCTACTTCCATCAGCGTGGATAAAAACATCGCTACTGCTCAGTCTGCAGACAGCTCAACCTTTCTGGGCATCCAGGTTCCACATCTACTCAGATATACCAAAATCCCCAGAGATTCTCCCACCTGCCCACGTTTCCCAAAGCAGACATCAGCCTGTGCTGCCTTTGCTACTGAAAGCCTGGGAGCAGCAAGGACACAGTCCCCCCAGCCTTAAAAGGAAGGCACACAACCCATGCACAGGAACTGAGATGAATTAGAGAATGCAGCATTGCTGCACCCTGGTCAGCAGTCACTCCCCTCCCTTTACTGGAAGGAAGGTTTAAGGCAGAACACACGTGGAAAAAAATCACTGGGGGTGGTGTTTTGAAACAGCAATCATCCTCAGTACAGCTCATGTACATCCTGTGTTTTCCTATGAGATTTACCATGGCTGACCTTTTCAGTACCAACTGTGATTAATGAAGCTTCCAACCCAGCACTGAATGGCTGCAAATTGCAAGAGATGCTCATCACATTAACATGCAGTAAGTACTGCAGTCCTCAACGAGCACACGGATGGGACAGGGAGCATCTGTGGGGAGAAGCTCCCTGCCTCACATGTTTGGAGCAAAATTATCACATCTGCATAGCTAGGGAGATGCCAACAAGGCAGACCCAACTTGTTTTGAATAAGGAAAACTGGACGTCAGTATTTTTTATAGGCTGGTTGGAGGTTGGCTTGCAAAACCTGGCAAACTGCAGAGATGCCTTGACAGCACTAGGCATAACGCGATGCAAAACTTTCTCTAGAGCCCAGTTAAAGCTCATACTGTGCTTGTTAGTGCTGCAGTGCTACAACAGCCCAGCAAAGGACTGAACTATGCACTGCATACAAGCATCAAACCGGCTGCCTTGGGGGAAAGCAGGAAGTTCTCTACAAATAGAGCACATTCTTTAGCAGATGCACAGCTTCTCCCTTGGACAGAGCATCACCTTCAGTCCGTGAGATTTATCTGCTCCAGAAAAGCCTCTCTGATTAACACTGACTTCCAACTATGCAAGCCACCCAAAGAAATCAGTGCAGTGCCACCAGGAAAAGCATCCAACATCCCTGAAAGGATGCAAGGTGGAGATCAGTACATCGGTCAGAGATGTGCTGCAGTGCTGGGGCTGAGGTCAGTGCAAGGGAAGATGAGGAGGAAACGCATTACACAGACCCCAGAGATGAGAGCCAGTGCATATAAATCAAGTAACGTGGCAAACTCTACACAGCTGCACGTCAGGGCTCCCTGCTATACCTGTTCTGTAGAGCCCCCAGTCCAGCAGTGCAGGAGCATCCCTACGAACCGCAGCAGGGCAGCGTTACACAGCACTGCACCAGGGCTGAATTCACGCAGGCACGTCTCGGCTTGCGGAACAGGGGATGGATTTTGTCTTCTATAGGAGAAGACTTCTGATTCCTAACAGCGCTGTGCCTGGAAGCCGAGATCCCAGAGGGGTCGAATATCAGCAGTAAACAGCGTTCTCTCAAAGCCAGTGGGAGGGAGGAAACGGCGACAGAAAGACAGAGCAGCTGAACGACTCAGCCTCGACCCCGCACGAGGCACCGAGCAGCACGGTCTCTCTGCGCCTTACTAATCAGCAGGACCAGAGAATTCCCTGATCCGTGCATCGCTCACGGCGCAACAGTGCTGCTTCAGACCTTTACAAAGTCTGCTTAGCACGGCAAGGCCTGGGGAGGCAGGTGGGGAAAGGATGCAAAAGAAAAAACTCAACTCCCTGTTAAACACTCGCATCAACGGGCAATAAAGCTGAGGTTCAGTTTGCTCGTGCCCGTCCCGTTCCCCGCACCTCCGTTTCGGGCGATTACGACAGAACCGCCCGAACCGAGGCTGAAACTTTCCCATCGCTGCCCCCGGCTCCACTCCGGATCCGCTGTGCGGGACTCGGGGCTCCGCCACGCGGTGCCACCCAGCCGGAGCCTTTTCCCGACCTCCCCGAGCCGCAGATCCGGGGTTCGTTTCACACACCTCGCTCCGCAGCACGTAAGCAAAATCATTCGCAGCCGCCGCGAGCAATAGAAAGCGGCACAATAGGAACGAGATTATCGCCACGCGTCCTCTGTGCGATTCGCAAACCCGCTTATCCCCATCTTGGAGTTGAGCGCTGGGAAGAATCACCGGCTGAAGGCAGCAGCACCGGGAGCTCGAGAAGTTGGAGCTCAGAATGCCCCCAGCAGAACCGGGTAACGGGGCGGCCGGCTACACTCGGGCTTTCTCCCACAGCTCGGAGAAAGAGCAGCGAGACCGAGCGCCAGAGCTCACCCCCGCCCGAGGGCGAGAGGACAGATCGGCTGCAGCGAAGTTTAACGGCATTCAGACACCCCCCGCCCGCGGAGCTCCGTGCCCGAGCTCAGAGACCCTCCCCTCCTACTCCAAAATAAGGCTAATCAGAGCAAAAGACGGAGGAGAATGAGCGCATCCCTCAGCCCTCCTTCCCCCGGCCGGCTCTCACCGTCCTCTTGCATCCGCTGCAGGCACAGGGCGAGGCTCTTTCTCCAGCCCGGCATGGCGGCGGGCAGCACCGCCGCCCCCCGGGGCAGCGGCACGACTCGGGGGACCCGGGGGGGCCGGCGGGAGCGTCGCTGCGAGCGCTCCGGGCTCCCCGGCGCTTTATGGCCGGGCGGGGCGAACGGCGGGGCCGGGCCGGGAGCCACGGGAACCGCCCCCGTCTGCGCGCAGCGGCGCGGCCGAGGGGCGACGGATGTTCGGCCGCCCCCGCGCCGCCGGTGCCCGCGAGGACGCTCGGCTCATTTAACGCGTCGTTTCTCTTTCTGCTTCAACCCCGGCGCCTTTTGCAGCGAACGCTCAGCCCTGGCGCGCGCGCGCTCGTGGGTTCACGTGTTCGTGCCCGAGTTGGGCTTTGCTGGGAGGGAAGTTGCGCGACGGTCGGACTGCCGGGTTTCGTCTTTGTCATGGCTGCGTGCGAGCAGGTGAAGCCCACGAGGGGGGCTGGATAGCATCTTTGTCATTTCTTCATATTCCAGAGGTTTCTGTGCTTTTATGCGAACACAAAGGAGATGTTTATTGCGTGCGCTGTGGTTGGTGTGCTTTTAATTTCCTGGGAGCAGCGTATCTCTGCAATGACTAGCTGCTGCTTTTTGTTCTTTGTCGGGCCTTTCGTTATCTGCCTGGTAGGTCTCTGCATCTCTGCCTCCTTTTGCAAGAGCGATAACGTTATGTGCAACAGCTGCAGACCAAGTTGTCCTCGGGATAGCATGAGCTAATTCCAGGGTCAGGATGCACCTGGACCAGCACGGCAGCTGCAACGCCATCCACACAGAGATGCCTACACGGACTCCAGCTTAGTTTGAAGAACGGTTTTTTTGTATTGCTGTAGGATAGGCAAGGGTCAGCCCTGCCCCTAGCTCACACCTGGGAAGCGTTTGCCATTTTGATTACGAGCACCCAGGTCTGCAGGGCACATGCCAGGCACTGGGCTGAGACACATTTCTGCAGCCTGGTGAAAGCTGTAATGCTATGGCAGGCCTGGGCGTGATCCTGCTCAGAAAACCCTCCTGCAGCTCCTCTTTGTCTTGGAGAAAAGCAGCTTCAGTAGAAAGACAGATCTACCAAAGTCAGTGACTGCAGCAGAGCCTGAGGAGTGAGAATCCTAGCAGAGGCACTTGAGTTAAACAGCCACTGATCAGCTGAGTACTTTTCATTCCTCCTCTCACAGATTCTTGAAGAACAACTTAGGAGCTGGACTGGAGAGGACCTGTTTTGAAGTTGCCATCCTTACAGTATTTTCCCTGCAGACTCGCTCAGGTAATTGCAGCCCCGTGAGAATGGCTCTCTTCCTTTAAGCGTAAGAGTTTGCAGCACTGCAGACAGTGGTTTGTCACACCTGAGCACTGCACAGGAGGTTCCCATCACAGCAGAGGAGGTCACACGCTGACTCCCCTCCATGATTCTGAGCAGGGAGTTACCCAGCAGCTTAGGCAGTGATTGGAGTGATGGCGCCTGCAGACTTATTGCAGCCAGCTGGAGCAAGTGCTTCCACGAGCTTTCCTGAGGAGTAGCAGCAGCAGGAACAGATTGCTCAGCCCCTGCCCATCTTCTGCTAGCAGCACAGAAACAAGAAATCCTTCATGCAAAAATTCACAAAAACTTTTTTTTTTAATTACCATATTTGTAATTAGAAGTAGAAATCAACTCCCTACTCAGCCAGAACTTATAGAGACATGTGGGGACTGAGGTAGGCCAGGATGGGGGCTGCCTGCATTGCCGACCTGCTGCCATTCCTTCTCTCCTCTAAAGAGGAGCTCTCTTCTCAAAGAGATCCTTTCATTAAACTGTGATTTTTTTTTCTGCAGATCACTTCCCAGGGGGAAACGCAGCCCTCTGCAATCTGATTGCAATGTATGTGGCACACTGGACTAGCAGCAAATCACAACTCCGTAGCTGGATTTGATCAGGGTACATCACACTGACTCACAGGAGGTTTGTGATGGGCACAAAACATTACAGCTGACAATGAAACTCCAAAACTTTTTTTAAGAGAAGAGGGAGGAGCCAGCACTTGATCAAGAGACAAAACACAGCAGGTGGGGCCAAGTGTTGCTGGGCCCTGGTCTGCCTCAGCCCCCACACAGATCCACCGCCTGCCCTGCTGGGCCTTTGTTCCTCAGCTGTAATTTGTAATTGCTTGATGATGTGCAGGTTCTGTGTATGAGAACGGGGTTCCCGGAGAAGTAATCATTATTGATGTAACGTTGCCCTCAGTAAAAGTTCTGAGAGTCTGAGGATAACAGGACAGATGAAGGCACTCTTAAAATTAAGGTCAAATTGACACTTTCTGTACCGAAAAGTTTGCCTGTGTTGCCATTTACACTGGCTGCTCTCATAAAAACCTTTCTGCCTTAACGTCTTTAGACCATCAGCGCTACAACAGTGCTACCTTTAAAGAACATCAGTGCCACAGAAATAATTAAACATGAAAACAGCAAGCACAATACTAGTTGACAATGTAGCCTAGGGCTTTTAGGAATTGAATTTAACACCTACATTATTGTAAAAAGACCTAAAGCTAGTATGGAGAGGCTCCCTAAAGCGCCCCCCATTAGCCTAACTTGAGCACTAAAGTGGGAAATTGAACCAGAGATAACAAAGCAGCTGGTCCTGAACGGCAGGATTGCTCCCAACAAGTTTGTAAAGAGCAATCTGTGCAGCTCCTCAAACACAGCACCTTCCGCCCAGCAGCTTGCTTTGGCACGCGAGGAAAGAGTTGGGCCAATTGTGCTTTAATTCCCATTGCAGCTGTAGGAGGGAAAGATGAAAGCACAAAGTTTTTCAATCTCAGGAGCTGGCTGTTGAGCAAAGGCTTGGGTCTGTTGCCAAGTGTGCAAACCAGGCTTTTCAGATCAGATCTGTTTATTGTCACTCTGTTGCATGCTGTGTGTGCACAGAACAGTGAGCAGACACTGATATCACACCTTTTGTGAAAGGAGGTTTCAGATACAAAGCAAATCCCATTTTCCTGAGAGGGTTAAGGAAGGACATCCAGGCTTTTTTGCCTTGACCCGTATGTCTCTAGGCTTCTCCAGCAAATTCTCCTGTCACATGCTCCCTTATCTTGCAGGTCACAGACTTTGTCAGCCCACAGTGACAATAAACTGACTTCCTGCAGCCAGGAAAGTTAGGGAAAACCAGACAGCTTTTGCTACCAGCCCCAAAGCAGTGATTTTAGAGGGCTCCTTTACCATTTCTGAGCCAATGAGGAAGTAGCACTTGGGAGACCCTCAGGAGCAGCATTGCTGCCCACTCCCACCAGCAGCTTGGGTGAAGATGTACTGCCACTGAGGAGCATCCTCCAAGGTCACACTGCTTTACCACAGACATGGCATCATGAAACACTCTGGGAAAATGGGAAGTACACCTCAATGCAGCTGGGGTTTCTGCTGTTGCAAGTCTACCAACTTAAGCTATGGGCTTTGCCTCCTGTATTGATTTACAGCTACTGCCTGGCAGAATTCAATATTAAGATCAAGCTAGAAATTACTTTGACCTCTGCAATCCTACAAAAACAAGATCTACTTAGGTATCTAAACTCATCTTCTCATTTCTCTCCCCCTCTTCAGCGCTTACTTTGTTACGTAAGAGAGAAGTTCCCTTTCTCTGTCAAGGTTGGGCTGCTGTGAGTGCTGATGCAGCGCGCCCTGTATCCCTGCAGCTCTGCATGGGACAGGCAGGGGACAACGGGCAGCCTATTTCCATCCCACAGTGACAGGCAAGTGGCACACAGCTACTTTAACAAAGTCTATTTTCACCTCCCAGGCACATAAAGTGGGGCTGGAGACAGAAGGATAAGTATGTCACAACACCATCAAGAGGGATTTGTTTCACTCATAGATGCTACCTATATGCAGCAGTGTCCGGTAGCCCACAGAAGCAGTGAACAGGATTGAGATCATGGAATTTAGAAGTAATCCTGTCATGCTGGAAGGTTAAAGGCAGTTTTAAAATGGATTATTTTTGTTGCTTCCATTGAAGGTTGATCAATAGCAAATTCACCTATTAATCCCACTTGGTTCTGTTTTGCCTCCAACACAGACAGTACAAACAGTTTATTGAGTTTGATGTCTGCTTCTTGTTAGGAACTTCAAGGCACACATTCATACTACAGATTTCTACAGAACTACTCACGTCAAATTAGGTTTGAAGGCTGAAAGCAGGCTGTCATTCCAACTTTCCTGGGTGATTCTCATGCCTCTGAAAAGCTGAGCATCTTTCAGAGAAGCAGAGCATGTCTGTGGAATTCACTGACACAAGAATAGACCCCATTTGTAAGCACCATGAGTGTGTGGTTACCTTTGTGCTCTGCCCCGGCTGGAAGGAAACTCAGAAGGGCTTCTTGTTTCTGCCCCAGAGATGTGCTCAGAGATGAGCTCTGAAGCTGGTTCCTCACATCTTTCCTTGCAAGTCAGCACGAGCACAAAGGAGCTCAGACCAGCCCTGCACCGCTTTCCAAAGTCAGCCTCACTGCTCTGTCAGAAACATCAGCACTGAAACAAGACCGAGCTCTGTCCCTCCCTTAGAGGGATGCTCAGGGCCATGCAGCACTCAGCTCCACCGCAGCTGCTGCACATTGATTTCCTGCCTGCTGAGGCAGGTTTCAGAAATTCAGGGCCATGTTGCATGTTACTCTGCATAGCTCCCAGCAGTTGGCACAGGGCCTGAAGTACTGCAGCTGATACAGTTCTTAACAGTATCAGTATTTGCTTGCCAATGTACAATGTAAGAAGCAACAGCCATTCTGGCTGCGTCTAAAGCCTGGTTTGGTTGGGCAGCTGACAGCTTCATCAGGGTTAGAGTGAAGATGCCATGAGATCTGGACTGCTCTTTAGGTGGACCCCCTGAACTCAGTCACAGCAGTGTAAGAGCCACCTTTGAAATTTGATTGAAGATGCTGCTCTTGGAAACACATTCCTTTCCCTTCCAGAACTGCCTGCAGGTTTCCCTCCTTCCCCTTTTTTGCCTCTGTTAATTTCTTTGTGCATACCATCTTTTCCCTCTAAACACACACATTCAATACTGCCTCAAAGTCTTTGATTCCAGGCAGAAAGATCACAATTTGCCTCTGGCTGCACAAGGTTTCACCCATTCCCCACTGCAGAGGTGCCTCAGGAAGGATTCACCCAGATAAACTAGAGGATCTAAATGATCTTTGAGATCCCTTCCAATCCAAGCCATTCTATGATTCAATCACTTCAGAAGGAAACCAGAAGCCGTTTAAATGAGTTTGAGGTGAGCTTCAGTGGCAGATGTTTTGGCACATGAGAACAGGCTCAGGCCCACCATTCATTCCTGCAACAATCTCAGGCTCCCTCCTGAGTCTTCCTTAAATCAGAACTGGCATCACACTCTCATCTATTCCATTAAAGATGCTTCAAGCTACTTCCTTTGGTACTAAACAGGGAAACACCACCTATCCATCTCTCAATAAGGGCCATCCACACCGGCATTTCACGAAGACTAATATCAATGTTATCACAAGATTCAGTACTTCCCTTTTTTTCTGGTCAGTGAACAGAAGTAGCTAGAGAAGTGAACAGGAAGCAGAAAGGAATCCCACAGCTCCATTAAGGTATGTTAATAATCCTTACTGGGCCTGTGTTGCTTCCTTGTCCTTCTCATGGCAAGCCAGCCCCAGCTGTCAGTAACACTTTAATGACCTCAGTGCATTTCAGGTCAGGAAAGGAGGAGAAAGACAGTTATAAATCATTGCAATTGACCTGTTAATCTTCATGGAATCACTTCATGTACCTGCAAATACATGCAGAGGGGACAGGAAAGAGATAACGGTCACTACAGTGTTTTGCCATACGCTTTCAGAAAGCAAAGCAGCTACTGGATATTCTGGCTCATCAGGTCAGGCTTAGGTAAGGTTGATAGATTTGATGATCTCAAAGGTCTTTTCCAACCTAAATGACTATGATCTCTCCCACACTAGCTAGCAAGAAATTTAGTGCTTTGGGCAAGAAGTGGGGGGGAAAAAAGGAAAGCTGCCTTTACCTTCAAGGAGTGTAGGCCCCCTCCTCTGCTGTTTTATGAAGTAGTGGCATTGCACACTTTGTACAGCTCCCTGCTATAGATGAGGATTTGCATGGCGCTCATCAAGGCTTTAATAAAGCAATCACTGGACTTGTGCCTGATGTAATTACTCATTTTGAAATATTATTCCACTTCCCATTCCACTCGTCTATATTTGACTAATGGCAGCAGTGCCACACACATTTCTATGTTCTCTATGTGCAGACACTCAGTATTTCTTTTCCCAATTATTTCTAAAATAACATCCATAATCACTGAGCTTTCTTTTGCAATCCATACAGCAACACGTCAGTGCCTTCTGGGCTTCTATTTTAAGTAATCTTTGTATCAGGAGCTCCGTTCTGGGGACTGGAATCTATTTAACAACAGGACAGGAACCACTCAGGAAAAAGAAATGTGTTCCCCTTAGGAGTGAGAAGGTGTCTTAGTGTTCCTCCAAGAAGCAGCCTTTTTGGTGAATTCTTTACCTAAACAGCCTCATACTTGCAAGGGCACTGCCAGCTGTGAGTTTGACAGAGTGACAGCTGCTACACTCAAGCCACTTGCCATATAAGCACTCATCCAATTTTTATTTCACAGAGCTGGGTAAAGCATAAGCCAAAACCCAAGGCCCACTGAGCCACGCACACTTTGAACTCACGACCTGAGAATCCAAAGGGAGTCCTCTTGAAATTCTGGGTTCTCCACTTGTGAAAAGTAATGTGAGGAAACAGGACAAGTGAGACTGAAAGAATGGGGAGAGGCTGACGATTTGTTCCTCAAATGCTGGAGAGATGACAGAACTGCAGGGGGGAGACGGTCATTTTTGGAAGGCTACCTCTGCAAAGTGCTCACAGTACCACAGAGAAATGAGCTACATGGCTGCAACAATAGTCTTGCACTGCCCTCTGCTGCACTGAGATCCAGCTGCCAGCAATTCACCTCTGGGACTTGCTGCTGAGAGCGAGCCATCCACAGCTCTCTTTCTTCCTTAGACACAGTTCCTTGTACTAGGAGGATTTTGCTATATCGCCCTCTGAGCATTTCTTCAGACATACACAACCAGAAAGACAACGTGCCTCTTCCGCCCCGTGTTCTGGGGGCAACTCTGGGTGACACATGGTGAAAGAGCACTTCATTCAGACAAATTGAAGTGATAAAATGAAGAGGAATATGAACTAGAATGAATCAAAGTCTTCAGCCGCAGCAAAAAATGAAATCCTATGATTTTAGGACATCCAGCAGCAGCTTGCCACCACCAGAATAGTAGAGAAGGAATATACAGTAGCTTTGTTTTTTCAAAACAAAAAGCCATCGCTGTCACTCAGCCACCTAGACAGGCAAGTGGTTGATAACTGCCAGGTAACCAAGGCCCATATGCTGGAAAAAAACCATGCTCAATTATGCTGATTTACGTCTCTCCAGTGCATCAAGGTAGAAGTGACCGTATGCCATCTTAAGTTCAAGTGTGCAGATTTAATCATTCCCATGCATTAGGAAATCACAAGCAGAGCTACAGTCTGCTCAATTACACCAGCCTGCCTCCTGCTCAGTGCCAGGAATCAGGCCCTCCGTAACCACTAAGGGTTCTGTAGGGGTGCAGGCCTTGTAGCACGTATTCCTGCCACCATGCCAAGTTAGGATACCAGAATTTGCTGCTACAAAACCTGTTGGTTTAAAATAATTCAACTTAAACCATGGGATATAAACAGAATCATTTCACAGGCAGTGAAGGCGACATAAATATGGGTTACACTATCACCCTGACACTAAATGAACATAAATAACAGGGTTTCAACTAAGAGCTAGAAAGCAGCCTCTGCAGAAAGTTACAGCCACAGTGCACGTGTCTGTCTACCTGCCACGATCGATAACCAGGGATTTCTTTAAGAAAAACAGAGCATGAAGCAGGTATGTGATCTTCTAAGTCTCCAAGTGTTATGCTCTCATAGCGACCTTTTAACAGACACACAGCCTCAGCACTGTACAAAGCTACATCTGCTGGGCTGAGCTCAGAGTGCAGGCAGGGCTGTAAGCAGAGCATGAATTACTGGCAGCATCTTCACAGAGATCCGGAACAGGGCTTTCAAAGAGAAATAGATTGTAAGGAGAAAAATCTTAAAGAAAAGGGCAGAATTATGCTCTTGGGTCTTTTTGTTTGCTTCAAATAGCTGGCCAAATGTTTTGGGGTTTCCAGCAACATCAGTGGGAAGCATTGAGCCTAATTCCTTCCTGTGAGCATCCTAGATCACAGCCTCCCCCATCACTGTCGTATTCCCCTCTTGCCTTACCTCCATCCTGCATTCTCTGCAGACAAAGAGCAAGGCTCTTCCTCCAGCTCGGCATCCCAGACCCAGCAAGAAAGAAATAAGTCCGTAGCCTCCTGAAAGGGCTTGCAGATGTGCAGCTAGAATAGAAAGCCCAGCTTCTTTATAGTGCTGTGCCTTGACAGGGCAGCAAGCTCATCTGTGCTTGCAAAGACAGGAAAACTCCAAACGAAAGCCTGATTGCAAACCATCCAGGCTGCATCTTGCTGCAGGGATGGAGCAACTTCACATGACCACAGCAAAAGAAGCATATGGCAAGAGAAGAGTGGACAGATGAATGGATAAAGCTCAAGGAACTGAGCAGTTCTTTAAAGGGCAAGTTTGTCTTTTATGCCAGCTGCATAGAAACTACAAATAACAAAACATTCACCACACGATTGCATTCCAATAGGTTCAGGCACCTTTTCAGGGAATGAGCCTATCACCCTGCCCACTCCCAAGTGTCTTTGGAGCTTCCTTGCTTTGTACATCACTAGTTCAGACAATTTGTATCTCTTGTTACAGGAAAGAAGAGAAACATGTTTGCCTCCTGAGCTGGCACTCAAAGTTTTTCTTATTTTTCAGATTTAAGAGCATTTACACATTCCCTGAAGAAGGAATCATTATGTCCATTCTCAAAGCATGCTAAAATGTATATAAATCACCAGTCAGTAACAGCTTTCTAAATTCATTTCACTTGCAGTAACTATGGCCCTCCCACATGTGCTGTGCAAAAATGGCATTAAGCCCATTTCTGATCTAAGTTGTTATCTGCTTTCAGGGAATCCCTTTTTTCTGGCTGCATCAGAAGAATTACAGTCTGTTCCCAAGTACTCTACCCCCTTTCTCGTAATACTTGAGAAGGAAAGATGTTGTTGACATTAAACACAAATGAGCACCTTATTCTATGGAACTGGCATTTTATAAGAGGCTACTTCAGACATGATTTCAGTTTCTCATCATCCAGCCAGAATTGTCTTCTATACCTATTTTGTAGCTTGCAAGAGAAATAAGCTAGCACAAAAGCAGGCTGCACTGCAGCTTATGACACAAGCAGCAAAGAGCAGTAGAGCTGTGTACCAGGGAGACATTACAAGCACTATTATCACCATTTCTGTCTTTGATTTTCTGCCCTGGATCACACAAACACTTCAAGCATTTAATCAGAGCATTAAAGTATTTCTCCTAACCCACAGCGCACATCTAGACTTATGAGCAGCAAAGTTTGGGTTTGTTTCATGTTCCCTCCACCTGTTCCTTTTTGCTGCACCAACTCAGCATTTCTATAACTACAGTGCTGGCATACAAAAACTTAGGTTATTTTTCAGGTTTCTTGTTCCTTGTGTTCCTTGAGTTATGTTCCTTGTGTCAAGTGGCCATGAAAATGCATGAAGACTGTGTGCTAGCACCAACATGTCACAAATATCCAACTGTTATTGGCCCACAACTTTATTTCATCTTAAAGCCGAGATGCAGAAAGTCAGTCAGGTTTCATCCTACCCCAGGGCCTTGATGTGCTTAGTATCTATGATACATCAACATAATTTAGTTTTGGATTGTGGCAACCAGGCACAGACTCAGATGTGAATGATCCAAAATGTTTATTACAGGTTCTCACATCACTTCATATATTCACAAGTTTTCTTTTTTATAAAGGCAGATGGGAAAGCTAACTTTCCCATCAACAAAGTATCCACAAACACTTCCTAAGGCGTTTACCCAAGCAGATCCATGAACCATTCCTTCTGCTTTTCTCCTCTTCTAGAGATAACACTGGTTCTCAGCCTTTCACAAGCTGTTTGTCTTGCTCCACAGTGCCTGTTCTGAATAGTCTCTCTCGTATTCCCACATTGGATTCCTATTTAAGCCCTTTTTTTTTTTTTTATATGGAGAAGACACCCAAAATTTCCAAGTAATTTGTTTTGAGTTTGTGCAACATCTCTCACTAATCTTGCAAGTTGCTGAGATGCCACCGTTTCATGCAAAATTGCCTTCAAACAAACTGCTGTGACCCCCCATCTTTCTGAACAACAATAAACAAGCTTTTTGTGTTGATGCAGCTTTGTGGAAGTGAACACAATTAAGCCTCGTGCTAAAATGAGCAGCATACCAATAAGAGCTGAATCAATTATTCCCCAGGAATTCAAGGCTATCGGCAGATTTAGATCAGACACAGTAGCGCACACAGCATTCACTGATTCTCTGTAAGCATCACACAACTACACTGAATCTGTATTATACACAGTTACCCTGCTTCCTCACCTCCTTTCTTTAGGATAAGCTGGTTTTGCTTCCCACCCTGGAAATGTTCTCATTCCAGCTCCCCCACTCTCGTTCATATTTTATTAATGCCTGTAGGCTGGATTAAAAAGAATCCACAGATCAGCCTTCCACAAATTAGAGCCAACACCGAGCCCTTCTGAGGGAGCTATAGATGCAAAAACTTGTCAGGAAGCACAGGACTACTGAACCACCGCTCAGGAAGCACTCTGAAAGCCACCTGCCTGGACGCACACTGAGTGCCAAGTCCCACACATAGCCAAGCACAGCAGCACGCAGAGCAGCCCCACGTTTCTAGCAGGCAGGTGGGAGAGCCACACTGCATGTGTCTCTGTTCCTGCCTGCTGGCCTTGCTGATGTTAACTGAGGAAGAATGGAAGGTGCAGCTCCTCATCGCTTGAGCTCATCTTTTGTACAAAGCATCAACGGCACTGATTGACTCATTCTGAGTCAGGCATGTCCAGGTAGAGCTTTACTACCCACAGAATCACTGGTTTCTTGCAAGCACAGAATCACCAGCTCTGTGTCTCATTCTACAACATGTGCTGCCCTTCATCTTTTAAGAGCAATTCTTTTTCCCACACCCAGTCACCTAACCATTCAGTAGCACAGATTTTCCTTGCCAACCTGGCCATGCCATGAACAGAAAGGATCAGTTTTAGACAGATGCAGTCACCTCCAGAGCCTTTCTATCTTCGCATGTTCACTAAACCATCTGCATAATACCTGTGACATGGAGAGCTGCTGAGATATTGCTTAGCCATTTTGTGCAACACTCAAAGCAGGAAGAATGCTGCTCCAATGCAGCATCTGGACAGGTAAACACAAATAGCGTCAAGGAAGGAAGAAATACATCAAAGATGTTGTCCTTTTCCAAGTTTGCAAACTCACATTTTTAACACTAGAAACAGATGGTTTTCTTGTAAGAATTGAAAAATCAGAATGGTGCAACAAGCAATGAAAAGATATGGGCAGGTCATAGAGGAAAAAAGAAGCAGCAAAGAAAGAAGGCAGCAAGGAGCTGCCTTAGAGGAGCCACAGGCTGTGCCAAGCAATAAGGGATCCCACAAGGTCTGATTCCAGACTTAAGAACAGGACAGATGACAGCCAGGTAGGAGTGGCTTCCAGAGTAGTGGCCTGAGTCAGCATTTGAATCATCTTTCCTTTCAGTCAGAAAAGACAAAGAAGCACTGAAGCACCTACTAGCTATTCAATACGACATTTCTAAAACCATGCATGTAAGATCCTAGAGCCTCAGACACTAAGCTTAGGAGGCAGTCACAGCACCCTACAAGTCAAGTTTTCAAGAAGTCAAGATGTCTCAGAATGTTTTTGCATCTGCAGTTACGTGGGGAGATACAGGTCCAAGTCTGACTATCAGCTCTTCAGTTACACTTCACATTATGAGACTCTCAGGATAAAGAGGCTCTTGAGCTCCTGAAAGTACTTAACACCTACAGCACTAGCAGTCCTATCACCGTAACATGGAGTACGAGCAACATGGAGAAGAATCCATGAACTTCAAGGGGGAAAAGATAAAAGTCAAAAATTACTAAATCAGAATCAAGCCTTGGTTGGGTTTGGGCTGTTTTTAATTCTCAGTATCGTCAGTAGGTGAGGTTTGGAAAGGCACTTCACACCTTTTGTTGGAGTGATATTTAACTAGAAGAGCACAGATGTTTTCATTCCTTTGTTCTATTTATCAGCAGTGCTCATGTCTCTTCTTACACTGCAAATTAAAACAGGAATTCTTGTTGCTCTCCAGAGAAGGGTAGCTCATGTTAGATGTTGTCTCCCATCATTTCCCCTTATTTTAAGAAACCAAAAGGAAGTCAGCTTCACTAAGGCCACAGACAGCTTTTCTGAACTACCTCTTTAATACTCATGGGCGTACAGGTGTAACTGCTTTAGCTACCGAGTATCTGTGTCAGTAATCCGCAATTCTGTGCCAATGAACTACCCAAGCATGGGCTGGATCTGGCTTTCCAAACACAAAAGCAGCACATTTCAAAAAGCCAAATAACTGCATGAGACATTTCTATCAGCTGTCACATTGCCAAGCAACAACATCAGCACCGTATATTTTACCACTTTATTGAAGACAAGTGAAAGGCAGCTTCCCCTTGTAACTCTGGATAATTATGATCTGAATCACTCCAAAATTAAAACATATCAGCCAATCCTTTTATCTCACAGAGAGAATAAAGCAGATAACGAGCTACCCAGGGAAAGCACAGCACCGAATCTCCGAGACCAGCCTCCACTCATCTGAGGCTCCAGCACGCGCAGGGAAATTTGTATTGGGGCGTTATGGACAGGGCTCAGTCCTCATCAGCTCACATCCCTCAGCACTGACCCGCGAGAGCCAACGACAACGACCGCAATTCTGCTCAGCACAGCCTCAAGCAAGGCAGCGGTTACAAAGCTAAATCCACATCCAAGCAGCACTTCTCTCTAGCAGTCATTCACCAATTAAACCAGAACTGAAGTCACTTTTGCTATGTAACCCCCCACAATCCTTCCTTGCGCAGCCCCAAACTCAGCACCTATGCCACGGAGACTCCATCCTCCGCTCCGCCCAGCAAAGCGGCAGGGAAGGACCCAACCGCCCATACCAGCGCTGCCGTAACAGCGCCGCACTTTACGACCTCGCCGCACTTTACGGCATCGCCGCAAAGCGGGGACGGAAGCGGCTAGCGGGAGGTTGCCGGGGAGCTCGGGCCGCCATGGACCGGAGGAAGAAGCCGCTGGACGTGGCCGCCTCCTCCGTAAGCGAGCAAGCTCCGCCGCGGCTGGGAAGCAGAGAAAGGGAGCGGTAGCATCCGCAGCAGCGCCTGCGGCTCGGCTTACAAGTGGGACTCGGCAGTGCGAGGCCCGGCCGGGCAGCGCTGTGCTGGGCTCCTTGCTGGGCCGGCGCCCGCGGTGCGCTGAGCCACGGCCGGTTAAAGGGCCCGGAGTCTCATCGTGTCGGGGTGCGCTGTGAAGTGAGGGCGCGGGAGGGGAGCGTCTGTTTGTGTGCCGGCCTGCTGCCCGCCGCTCTGCCATGGGAAGTGCCCGCGCAGCTCGGCTTGCCGTGAGTGCTGCAAGCTTAGCAGTGACCTTCTCGATCAGATCGCTGCTTTTAGGGTCCACGTCTAACTGCAATTAAATGCTCGCATAGATGGTAGTAGTCGGTTATTTTACTATATAGAGGAATAATTATCTCCAGTAACTGATGGTTGGCAACGTGTTTGTTCCTTTTGCTGATGATGTAGTTGGTAGATCTCAAAGCAGAGCTCTTCCGCAAACAAGAAGAATTCAAGAAAGAAAAGCTACTGAAAGATGCAGGCATCTTTGCAAAGCCCAAACCCTCCAACAAGGTAGAAACGGTTTTCTGTTGTTATCCTTTCTCCTTAAATTAAGGCAGTCTGTACACATTTAAATCTCAGTAAAAAAAAAAGTTCTATTGCCATTTGAGTTTTCACCATGAGGAAGTTTTGATTTCTGTCAGCACATTTTCAGATGTGATTTCTGTGCACAGCAGCAAACTGCTGCCCATGCCTATCAAAGTTACCTCTGAAGTTTCATTCTCTCAGGAGCCAAAGCTTTTTTTTATCTACAGAGCAATATGCTGCTTCTTCACTTCAGGTTCCCTGAAGGGGGGAAGATGGTAAACTCATCCAGAACCACTGAGCTTTCTGATAAATGCCGTACTGGGTGCTTCTCTCTGTCACAGTGCATCACAGCAAACAGGCAGTTCTCACTCATTTTTACTCTTTACTGTATGTTTTCTATCTGTGCTGTGACTTCTTAGTACTAGAGTTACCGTACTTGAAGGTTGTGTTGCACTGTAAACTGAAAAGCTGTATTTTTAATCTGAAATGAATGTAGGAGAGAATATGAGCAGTTCATAACTTTGTTATTTAGTTATTCATCACTTTTTCCATAAAAACTTTGCTAGAATAGATTTTGTCTGATATATATTTCCTTATACTTCTCACCCTGACCTTCATTATCACACAGTACAGCAATGTGTCATTTTAGGTCATACTTGCTGTGTTCTACCAGCACAGGAGGTAGAATCTCAAGTCAAATGCATTTACGAGGCCGTTTAAAAACCTTACTTGATTGAGTGATGTTTATCATTTCATGATTGTTTGTTGTTACAAAATCATATCCTACAGAAACCAAGCATCTGGACTAAACAAAACACAGGAGTTGCAAAACGAGCTGAGAAAGACATTGAGCAGAAGGCAGAAGAGGATCAAACCTTAGATCAATCAAGGTAATTCTCAAGCTCTATAAGAAAGGAACGTTTTGTAGAATTTGTTTTTCAGTAGTTAGAAAAGCACATTGAAAGTTACGTGCATTCTAGATGAGCAGCTCTCATAGGCCAAAAGGTGAGACCAACATCAGTCCTATGCTCTATAGGAGCAACGTATGGGCTGTAGTGAAATGCTCTTATGCTCTAGAGAAATCTGCCCTTACATCATCACAACTATCTAGATGTATAAGGCTGCTGAGATTTGAGTATCATTTTTAGAGGTGAAATCCAGGGCAGTGATGCTTCAGAACTCACACTTCAAACCATTTCTTAGACTTAACAAAAGATGGCTCTGTAAATTTGGCTTGTTTCCTAAATAGCTTGGCTGTACAATAAACTATATGATGGAAAACACAGCAGTAGTAGTAAGGTAGCACAAGCCTAGGCTGTAACAAATGAGAACAAGCCCCAGTATAGTAGCAGACACTAGAAAAAAAACTACTTACCTTTAGAAGGCTTTCAGTATGCAAGGATCTCCAGAGAAATATCCTTAGCTCCACTGCCAACCCTTAAATGAGGGCTGGATCCTGGCTTCACCCCTTCCAGTCACTCAGGGCCGTTGCATGCACCTGAGCTCCCCTGGGTTGGCCCTGCCTTCCTCCAGGTGCTCAGTCAGTGCTGCAGGCCGCGACTTAGCATTTCCATTACAGATGAAAACCATTTATAATCAATGTGCTGTTTTTCTGTAAGTGGATTCTAGCTCGTCAAAATTGGTTTCTACTGTTCCAGAAATCAGCTAAAGTTTTCAATTTAAATTAAAAAAATCATGTTTGTATGATAACTGCTGAGTCACAGCCTGAACCACTGATTGAGCACTTGGGAGAACAGGTGAAGGCAATTCAGCTGCATGACAGGAAGGGGTGGAGCCTGGCTGCACCTCTCTGAGACCTCACTGAAGGGCCCCCGTGGGGAAAGGATTTCTGGTTGGAGAGCTCTCTTTTGTAGAGTGCTTCCTATAAGCCTGCAGTTTTAGAGATGAGGTATTTTTTCTTTTCTTTTGGAATACTGTTCTCTCTGTGGTAGTCCCTTTGCTGTTGCACTCTTGTATCACCCTTTTACTGCATTAATCTTTCTGGCTGCGACACTTGTATTTATTTATTTATTTATTTATTTTCCCTGTATCTCACACCTGTAAGTAGTCTTGTAGTATTTATCCGACCAACCATAATAGTTGTGCAGAGGTAGAATATTAGCGACTTCATACCCATGCCTTCTCAGTATGTTACACTGAAGACTGACTCTGTAACTTCAGCTATTATTTCGATTTATTTTTCAGTATAAGCTCTGGAACAGGATATCTGTGTTTCTTCAGAAACGTCATTTAAAATTTAAAACAAAAAGGAACAACAGATATTACTCTGCTTCTAGTAGATATTTCAAGCATTCCTAGGATTACTTTCCTCATTTACCTAAGCATAAATGGTTCATAAATTGGTGAAGTTACAGGTTGGTTGGTTTGTTTGTTTCTCAGGAAGAAACTTGAAGAGAAAGCGAAGCTGTACGAGAAGATGACAAAAGGCGATTTCCCAGGTGAACAAAGCTAACCTAAAATAAGTAGTTGTGTGTGCACTGACGTACAAGATAAACTTAAATAATTGCTTTTTTTGTTTTAATTTAGATTTGAATTATTTTTATAGTGTTTCCTATTAATCAATGTAGTATATTTAAGGATAGAGATATGAACTTGTTTCCAAAATTCACCCTAACGATTGGCCTATCATTATCTAGTGGCTTGTAGCAGTATAAATTCACTGCTCATCTTCTTACTTAAAAGTGTTTTTTCTGGAGCTGTTATGCAAAATGATTGGCATGGGTTATTTTGCTATCAAAGAGAGAAAATCATGTAAGTACTGGAAAATGTGGAATTACTTTTTGAAGGACAGACTGTCCTAGTAAATCACCATGAGCTTGTTTCATTCAGTCAGTCATTAAGTGGGTGGAATGCATTCTGTTTTTTCAATATAGAATCTTAGAGAAAAAAATAACGTGTTCTCCATTATGCAATCTTAGCACTTGATTGCTGTTTTTCTGTCCTGCAATCTAACTCTTGGGATTTATGAAGAGAAGAGCAGCAATGTGTCACGCAGATAACAGAGCTAAAGAATCCTGATCTGGCCCTTTCTTTTTTCACGTATTCAGTCACTTGCAAGAAATACTTATTAGACCAGAATCCAGATGTCTTTGCAATTAATATCTAATGTTTCCCTTATTAGTGTCCAACTTTGCCACATGTGCCATCGTCACTCTTTTCCACTTTTCAAAGAAGCACTCTAGAGCCTGGTTTCTGCTAACATAGGAAGTGCTAAGCATCAAATAAGTGATGATTTAGTTTAGTGAGTGCTGTTGGTGATGGTTGGGCTGGGTGATCCTGTGGGTCTTTTCCAGCCTTAGAGATTCTATGATTCTAAGTATTTGTACTGTTGTGTAACAAACCCTAGAGCTTTGAAATAATTAACGAGCATAGAATACTTCAGTGTGGAGAGAGATATCTTTTCTGTATTTCACACATAAATAATTGCTTTTAAAAAGCATAAAAGCTGTGTTCACAAATAGCGGCTATCATTGTGGAGCCAGCTCACAGCTCCAGGTTTGTTTGACCCGAGGTGAGATGTAGGTATTCCCCAGTGGTTTGGTCAGGGGCATTGCTGGCAGCTGCGGAGGTGACTGTGCCCGTGATGTACCTATTGATTTTTGTGTTGAGTTCTGTTCTCCTTGTGGTTCTTCCCTACGAATTGATTTTCTGCCTCAGATGAAGAAACTGAAGATTTGTACCTGGTGGATTTCACTCAGAAGATCATAGACAAACAGCGAGAAGTACAGGAACTGTATCAGAACGAAGCTGCTAGACAGACTTTAGAAAAAGAGACAGATGATGAGGAAATTGAACCAGAAATGGAAATACCACCGCCAGAGGACCCAGATGAAGAATGGTTGGTACTGCTGAGTGGGCTGCTGAGGCTTGGTAATTGCATGAGAAAAGAATTCCATTCCACAGAACGTGCAGTGACAGTTATTGGGTTTTTGTTGCTTTGGTTTTGGTTAATACTACACATAGAGAAGAGGTGGTTCTTCCTATTTCCTGTCTTAAGAGACAATACTTTGTGTTCTCACAAAGGCAACACCCCAATAGAATCTACCTCCGGGATTTTGAGGAACACCAGCGAGGGAAATATGCTACAAGTGAGATGTGTTGCAGTAGCTTCTCTTCTTCATAGTTCATGGAAGTTACAAAACTGGTCTGACTAAATGTTTTCTTTACCAACAAGTGAAGAATGGTTATGGAACAAAGATTTTAATTGTGATAATCAGTTAAAACAGCAATAAGCAGTATGAAAAAGAGCACTGTGCCTTTTTTAGGCCACAGTAAGATTTGCAGTATAATTTTCCAGAATAAACTGCTAGGCTGGAAGGGCAGATAATGCAGAGTGCTACTGGTGTCATACTGAGATTTGAGATGGAACCGTCAGTGATCCAACGATGAACTTAATAAAAGTACAGATCCCTTAAAGTTTGGTTTGGGGAAACTAGGTTGTCAATCCTATGCTTTCAGCTGTAATGTTAATTCTCTAACTTGGGATAATAGAAGCTGCATGATGCCAGGCAGCTTTTAGCAGCACCGAACAGTAAGTATAGCTCTTTATCAGCTTTGACAACTGTAAATTAAGTGCCTGGTGCTATGAAGAGCTGCTGAGAAGCATGGTGTGTGCTTCAGAGGAATGCTTTGCTTGCATTTTACTCAGCCTTTGTTGGGCATGTTGATTGAATGCTATCAAGCTCTTCTGAATGGGCTTGGTTGATAACTGAAGTGTATTGTAGCATTTTCATATCTGTAAGAAGTCAATGCTGTGCTGTTATTTTCACCATAGGAAGCAAGTATTAGAACTAGTTTTATTTAGTGTGAAAACTGATGTTTTAACTTCTGAATGTCTCTTTACACCACCTTGTTATCAGAGCAAACAGAAGGCTCAAAGGGAGACTGAGTAAATGTCTCTGGTAAAACTGTCACGTGGCCTTTCAGAACGGGACCTTGGGAGTCTGACAGTTTCTTCTACCTTTCAGTTAAGGTGTATATAGAGAGTCTGAGAGGTGTCAGATGCTTTTTGGAAAATGTCACTGCTGCTGTTGTTTGTAAGCCTGCAAGCGGAAGTTCTGTGTGAAATGTCCTTTGCTTTTATTACAGGGTTGATTATGTTGATTCCTTGGGCCGATCCAGACGCTGTATGAAGAAGGACTTGCCAAGTATACTTAAAATGGATCAGGAACTTCAAGGGAAAAGGTATTGCCCTTTCTCAGTGCAAAGTTGTTTAATCTACTGCTTTCTCTAGGTTTGCTCTAGGCCAGCTTCTGCTGGTTTCTGCATTGTGCCTTAAGAAACAGCCAGAGAAGCAACACAGAAATTGTACATGACAATAGTTTTATCAGTGTTTCCTATTATAAATTCAGGCTGAGTTTCTATTATAAACTATGCCAAGAATTCCTTGGCAGCTGACCATTTGCATGATGTGGCTGGTGTAGTATTTTTAAATTGCAAGAGAATAAAGGCCGTATGAAATAAAAGCGCAAGTGAAATTTGTAATAAACTGAATGAAATTCTTAATAACCTTGTTATGTAGTTCGTAGAGAAGAGTTCTAATAAACAGATTCAGCAGTCTCTCAGATACCTGAAGCTTCTTTTAAAACTGTGGTCCATGTAAGATAATTGTTTATTAGAGCTTCCAGAAAATGCCAGAGAAGTGATTCCTGGTTCCAAACAACCTGAAAACTGTTCGTAGTCATTCAGCAAATCCAACTTTGTTAGATCTCCACTGCTTTTGCTTTTGTTATCAGCACTTTAACTGGTTGTTTTTTCCTATCAAAATTATTATGGCAGCACAGAGTTGTTTTCAGAATGTAATCTAAGGGTACCTCAGCAGAGCTGCTGATGTAGATACTTTCACAGCAGCAACTTACTGGTGTTCAACATAAAAAGAGAATAGGAGTGTTCTGAAATTACAGTCTCTGGATTGATATGGATGAGCATCTATCAGCAAAGCTTGCTTTAGCTAGATGAAAAGAGAGAAATGCTGCTGCTTCCCTTGAGAAAACAAATATTTCCATGCTGAGTACTAATTGACTTATAGGGTAACTGACTGGCTTTGTGCTATTCCAAATGGCTTTCATCTTCTCACATCGATCTGAGATACTTCTATGTGTGGTTGCTAACATCCAAACAGATGACAGTAGGAGCGAACGTGTAACATTTCATCAGCCATTCTGCCTTTGATTAGGATTTGATAAGGCCTCTGAGAAAGGATAGAACTCTAAGTGTTTTAGTAACATGTTCTACTGTACCTTGCCATACTCATCATTGTTTTATCTCTAAGTGGTGCCTCCTGTGATATTCTGTAGAAACTGCAGGAGTGGGTTAGACCCAATCATAACTGAATGTCACTGTTTGTTACCATGGAACCAGCAACTTTGTTCTCCCTCATTCCCCCCACTTCTTTGTGTTTTTTTTAATTAGACTGGACCCTGATGGGAACACGCTGTTATCTGAAGATATGAAAAGAGAACTTCAGAGGCAGCAGTGGGAAAAAGAAGAAGAAGAAGCCCTCCGAAAACCCATGGGGCCCATTCATTATGAGGACATTCGAGAAAACGGTATGCCTCATGCTTTGTGTACTCAGCTTCACACAGATTAACTTTGGAGAAAGCAAGGGAAAGGTGTTCTTGTTGCCCATATGGCAAACTTCACATACATGTGAACCACGTTTGTATTAACTGTTCAAATTGCTGGGACATTCTTCTAGGTCTGTTTTTCAGTGAACTATGTTTTTTTTCTCTCCTTGAGGAGGCTTCACTTCACATCATCTAACTAAGCCTATTTTACACATTTGAAAAAAATAGAGAGGTGTATGTGGTCATTCAGTGCCTATATGCTGCCAGTAAACTGAGGATAACTTTATTGACTTTTTCTTCTCAGAGGCCAGACAGCTTGGTGTTGGTTACTTTGCCTTTTCTCGTGACCAGGATCTTAGGCATAAACAACGGGCGACCCTGGATATGCTAAGAGAGCAGGTACGGGAGCATCCTGACTTGGTTGTTTGGGTTTTTTTTGTCTTATGATCAGTGATGCCTGCATTTGACTGAAAATTGTCTCCTTTTCCCTGTTGAAATGTAGTACCTGATAATATTGCTTTCAGTCCTTCAGCAAAGGAAGATACGTAGTTGATTATAGTAACACAGGAATATTAATTCATGTTCTTCTTTACTGTTAAGACACTGGATCAAAGAACTAAACGAGAACAGTTAAAAGAAAAAAGGAAGGCAGCTCTAGAATCAAGGCTGTCTAAACTTCGAGCACGGAAGGTGAAGAAGTTAAGGGAAGAAGGATTAGAAGAAGAGGCAGAAAAACTGGAGAATGGAGGTATGAATAGATGTCTTTTCAAGACCAACAGTTGCTGTTCCATCTTGTACCTGACCAATGGGTGGGCATACAACTGATAGGCTTGGAGATTTAAGGTGTAGATATTATATACTCAGTATACGCAATATAAATTAGAATATGAGAGTTCATATAACTATGTGAATGTACAGTCAATGCGTGTGCAGTCAGTGCGTGTACAGAGGTAAGGCTTAGTAAGATTATCACTGTGGAAAGATAAAATAAATGGCAATGCTCACCGGTGTCATAGGCTTGCAGCAAACTCCACAAGGAGCAATCTCCAGAAAGAGATCCTTCCTCAGTGGCAGGCAGCCCTTAAATGGGATCTAGGAGAGGTGAGGCCAGGCTCCACCCCTTCTGGTACCACAAGTGATTTCACCTTCACTCCTGCAGCTGACTCACTGCTTGCCTAGGTGGTCAGTCAGAGGTTCGGGCTGTGATCAGCAGTTCCCATACAGTGAAGATATAAAACTGTTCCAGAAATAGCTTCATAATGCAGGAAGAAGTGTGGGATGTCATGCATGGACTGATTCTTTTTGAAGTCATGCCTGACAGCGGGAGTTGTGCAGGTTAATGAAGCGTGGCGGAGCTGCTGAAGTTGTTCGGGTTGGCTTTTAAGATAAGTGAGAATAATATTAGCAAGTTGATTTCATTATCATATATTGACTCAGAGTTTCAGTCCTGTCTGTAAGCGGAGTGTACCTCTAGCTTTCAGGATTTGAGATGATGAATTTGAGTTCTAATCCCATCTCTGCCTTGTTCCCCTTATAACACTACTAGTCACTTGTCCTGTCTTCCACTGTAGCTAATATTTAACTTGTCAGAAGTCTAGCCAAGCCATTAACTGGGAAGCGTTCTGGAAATGATGAACAGTAATGTGCTGCTGCAACTTACTGTTGTTCAGAAGAAAAAGAATGGAAGTGTTCCTCTCTAGGATTGCTGAAGTGGAGATACATGCTCATGTTCTTCTTTTTATCAATTTTCTAGTGTCAGTATAACACTCAGCACATTGTTTTTTGGGCTGTTAGGCAACTGATTTTTTTCACCAGTCTTTTGATATGGATAGAAAACTCATGAAGTACACAGCCTCACTACCTGGCTTACCCATTAAATTCTCCGAATTAACGTGAATGAATTAAAAAATAAACTAGGGCTCATTTCCTTGTTAGAATGAAATTAGCTACTGTAAGCTTTCTATACACTAATCTAACTTGTCTGTATAGCATTGCTTCCTGTTCTGCCTGTGAAATTCATTTAGGAGGTTGTATCCTATCAGTAACAAAAAATGTTCTCTCCTTCTGCGAAGTAGAGGTGAAAGACACCACCAGCCCAGTACAAGCTGAGCCTGAAGTTCCAAGACCAAGCAGAAAGGTAGAGGTTGTCATCCAGGAGAGAAGAGATACGAAGCCTGGTGTGCCTTATGTCCGTGAGTGGGATAAAGGCAAAGGTAAGGAAAAAAAGGGTGAACAAAATTCCTTGCTCTCTTGATGCTTTTCTCCTGACTATTTCATATTTTTTTTATATTTTTTGGAGCAATGGGAGTTCTGCTCTGTTTTCCTACATTGGACAAACATGTAGTCTTACTGTATTAAAATCTTCTAATTCAGTTCTTACTGAAGTCATGTTAGCCAGTGATGTACTAGGTGAAAGTAACTTCACGTGGCTTTAAGAACTGCATCTTCTGTTTCTTTGTTTCCTCTCTTCTCACTGAAATCAATATTTAAGCTACTGTTTTCCCTCGTTCTAACAGAGTTGATGTTTGGACAATGGTCGAAGAAGCAGGAAGAACTTAGAGATGAGCGAGATCCTGAATTTGCACCACCTTCTGATTACTTTATGGGACAAAAGAAGGACGATAGTTACAGCAGCCAGAATTTGAACAGTCCTGAGACCTCTCCTGGAAAAACAGAACCAGAAATATCAGAGGACCAAAAGAAGATATCAGTGCAGCCCAGTACCCACAGAGCTGAAGTCGTGCCGCCATCTGTACAAGCGTACAGCAACAGTGTTCAAGGTGGGCCAGCACCAGCTGAGGCCACTGGCAGTGATGCTGAAGATGGATCAACATCGGCGGAGACTGACAGCAGTGACGAGCAGGATGGGCTGCCGTCAGCACACCCCTACATCTGTGGTGCTCAGAACATGCTGCCATCAATGCCAGCTTATGGCTACGGTGCTCATCATGTGCTGCCACCAATGCAGCCTTATGGCTACGGCGCTCCGCATATGATGCCACCAATGCAGCCTTACAGCTATGGCACTCCACATATGATGCCACCAATGCAGCCTTATGGCTACGGCACTCCAAATGTGCCATTTTCAATGCACGCTTACGGCTACGGAACCCAGGATGCAGCACAACCAGTGCAGGCCTGTGGCTGCAGCACTCAGGATGCAGCACAACCAGTGCAGGCCTGTGGCTGCAGCACTCAGGATGCAGCACAACCAGTGCAGGCCTGTGGTTGCAGCACTCAGGATGCAGCTCAACCAGTGCAGGCCTGTGACTGCAGCGCCCAGGATGCACCTCCTCCAGGGCAGACATACAGTGGTGACAAGCAAAATCAGGAGCCACTTTACCAAAGTTTAGATGATATGCTGTCTTATTACAGACAAGTGACTTGAACTGAGTAAAACAATAAACAAGAACTGTGATTTAAAGATCTGGAGTGGAATTACCTTCTGAGCAAGAATGTTATCTTCCTATGTCTGGGAAAAATAAGGTTCTGTAAGTAGATGAAAATTTCGTGTTAAACTAAGCTACCTTACATCACAGCTGTACTTCTACCCTGCCTGTTCTTTTTTTCTCCTCTTTATTAAAATTATGTACTTTTTTGTCACTGCTTAATTAGCTTAGTATGCGTTCTTATTCTTTACCACTTATGCCTGTACTTTCGGGTATAGCTTCTGCTTTGAAGGTACTACAGGTTCAGTAATATCTATAGAAACAGTACTGAAATGGCAGACCTGCTGTTGCTAAGTACAAAAAGGTTTTAAGAAATGTTACCCACTTTATCACCCAACTTCAGGGACAGAGTGCAGCATATTAGCTAGCAAGCAGGTGTGGGGAGTGCTGTCTATGGTCATAATGCCTTCTGAGTTCCTGAAGTCTGTGTCTAACTTGTAATTCTGTGAAGCAGATCAGAGTTGGAGGAGGGCACTACGGAAAATGATAAATGATGATAAGACTAAGAATAAATGCTCCACTGAATTAGAAGCCTTGACACCTGAAATTACTGTGTTACTGGTTTAGAAAATGCTTTCTTCGTTGATCAAGAACATTCCTGCATCATTCTATTATATTTAAGGCTTTATTTAATACTTGTTTCTGAAATCTGTGTATTGCAGTGATACATAAAGCAGGCTAACCCACACCAAATAAACTTACTGCAGTCTCAGTAAATGACAGTTGTATTTCATAACTGTTTGGAACATTTGGAATTGTGAAGGCAACTTAGGTACCTCTCATTTGTATTTTAATTGCTCACAAAAAGAAAAACAAGGAAAGTTGGTTAGAACAGGCAGTTGTGTATTTTCTGTAAAGTTGAAGGGCAGCGATGTTGAAGCGGTGAAAGGGCAAAGATGGCGTGCTGCTCTGGGCTGTGGGACCTCGGGCTGTTCTGACCTGAGCAGAACGCAGTCGCTGTCCGTCAACTGTTTTAACCTCAGCTATTAAGTACTTCTATTTCTCCTTTTTCTACCATTGCTGACATGAGTACCACCCCACGCAAGCACCACTGGTAGCAGTTTATAGGCACAGAATTCTACAGTCTTGTATTGTTATCAGATGGCTGTGGGACTGGAGATTTACGATAAGGTGGGGCTTCTGTTTCTCTGAACAGGCCTAGAGTTTAAGGAGAGCAACGCAATGCCAGCATCCACCCGAAAGGTGCAAAAAGCGTAGCTGCTGCTGTCCTGAACTTAGCTGGGCAGCGTGGCATTAGAGTTTATACTTCTTCCTTTCCTTGAAACACTTCAGGATGAATAAAGAACCTGAAAAAAAATAATGACTGTATACTAATGACTAAAAGGAAGAAGCTATGAATCTGTCTTTTTGCAAATGTAATGGTACGACGCTGTTTTCTTTCCTCTTTGGTTTGGTACAGTCTCAGGTTGTCAATATCCATGCTCTAATCTTACACATTTGCTCTGAGAAATCCTGCCAGTATGTATGAATTTACTGCTAGGGTTTTGTAGTAATGCTGCAGATCTGATGATTCTGATCCTAGAGCAATTTCTCACATGCTGTGTCACCTCACATTTAATTCTAAGTTTGAAATAGTCGCCCTGTGCTTTAGGAGCTTTCTTCTGTAAAGATAAGTTCTCATAACACAATTTCAAGCAGAAAATGGGCTTTAAATTTTTTGTGCGTTAATTAAGACAACAGTAGTGGAAGTTTGATGCTTGTAAGTCATTGTCTGTGCAGTTCTGTTAGATGTGCACACAATTGTGGGATTGCTTGTCAGAATTAACTGCATTTGAATAGAAGTGAAGCATTTTAGGGATGTTAGAGAAGTTTCATGTTGAAGACCTCACATAAATCAGTTAAGAGGGTATGACTCAGAGTAGGGTGTGATGTTCTTGGAACTGAAGTAACTCCAAAGAGTGAGCAAAACATTTTAAATTATTAGAGCAGGACTGGAGTTCATTATAGCAATCACATCCTTTAGTAGACGGCCATATAAACAACATTTCCATCTATTCTGGTACTATTTTAATCATTTGCATTCATTTCCTACTGCCCTCTGGGCTCTGTTTTCTCTCTGCCCTTCAGACTGGGGGTAATTTTATGTACATGTGTGATTTAAGAGCTATACAGTCTTCGCATTAGTTTAACGCTGAGCTGCAGCTGTGCTAAGGAATGAGTGTCATTCATAAAGTAGCATTATGTAGAAACATACAATCAAAGTGCTCCTTTGTCAGCTTTATTTCCATAGCCTGATATTAAACACAGGAGGACTCTAGGCCAGAAAGGCAGTTCAATGCCTATGTTAAACTAAAGCCTGCTGAGAACAGCTCTCACACAGCAGTGGTCTGTCACTTTGCCATTTGGTTTCCTCCCCTCTTGCCCTGGTTTCTGGGTGAAACACTTGTGTGTATTCTCTCATGCTGTGGAGCATGTGTTTCTGTTCACTCTTTATTTCACTCTGGACCACCTCAGTAAATTTACCCTGATCAGCAACCTAATTCATTTCATTTAGCAATTCTTGGGTCGAACTACTGCTTGCTTGATATACTATCAAGGCCCCATTCCTCTTCCCAATCTTGATGGTGTCTCCCATTCCCTTTTCCTGCTCGTTTTAACCATCTCCCAGGATACCTACTTTGATGCTGAGGGAAAGCAGGTGTGCACTTGGGCTGTTTGTAAGCATCTGCTACCATACTTCAACCTATGACTGATGAGAATAACTACCTAACCAGCTATCCTGCATAAAAAAGAATTCCACTTGTCGTTTCAACCTTCTTTTCACCTAGCTCTGCTCAGAGCCATTTAGCATATTTTAGAGGTTTATTCTGTCGGTACAACTGTGACTCCCCCTGGTAAGCATCTTCCTCAGTCTTGCCCCAGTTTACTGCTTCTCTCTCAAACACTTGTACCCACAACTTCACCTCCTTTTCTACATTGTTTGTGTGCACCTCAGGTTTGCTTATCAGCAAGAACAAACATTACATGGTTCAAAATAAACAGATAGGTAAAATAAATAATGTAGCCTCGCGTGAAGTAGCCTGCTAATATACGAGTTGTTTCCCAAAGCTCTTCCTCACTTTCAGAGGCGTTTACTAACCCATTTTCAATTGTTTGGTGTTAATTGTGCCAGCCTTCACACTCAGAACTCATGATTTCCAGTGTTTTTGGTTCTCATGTGTCCCTTTTAGGTACAGCTAAAATAAAAAGGCTTACCTACCAGAGAGAGGGAAAGCTGTCAGCACAGAAACCAAGCAGCCCAGGGAAGGTCGTTTCCCTCATTAGCACCCAGCTTCACTTCCACTGTTGTTGTGCAGTAAATGTGAAGCTTCAGGGAAGCGTTCATTTCCTACAAGAGTCATTTTCACTTGTACTGGACTGAGGAATGGGAATAATAATGAAAATGGTGAAAACGATGATGTTGGTGTTGGGTTTGGACCAGCTTGTCTGTATCTTAGTGCAGGAGCAAGCGTGCTTTTGGAGCTTTGCACATGGTACACACTGAGGGCAGCCTGGATCCTCCTGTGATGCTGTGTGAGGTTACAGTGAGCTTTACAGCCTTGCTCTGCTTTCAGCTCGGGGCTGTCTGAACTAAATCCCATCTAAGTAGGTAACAGACATCTCTTGCAGTGTGAAGAAGTCTCAGAACAGATGTGAATTATGCAAATATGAAATGCTTTTTCATGATTGCACTGGGAGTTTGCGACCATTTCTTCATGTGTTGCAGGAAATTTTGAGCACCTTCAAACAAAATCTGAAGCAAGTTTGCTATCCTGCTAGCAGCTCTGTGCTTGCTCAGCCTTCCTGTTGCTCTGAATTTGCAGGATAGTTCATCTGTGCTTCCCAGCCTCCAACTGCTCGGGAGGGATTTTCATTGCCCAGCCATCAGCGTTTTGCTGCAGCGGAATCTACTCCTGAGGTGGGCGCTGCTCTGTGAGGAGCCACCGCGCAGCGCCCAACGGTCACCTCAGGGCGAGGCGGGAGCCGACCGGGCGGGAAAAACCGCTACCAGCCAGCGCATGCGCAGCGCGGCGCTCACGCTCAGCCCGCAGTGGTGCAGACAGCAGCCCCCTAAGGCGAGAGGAGCATTGCGCATGCGCCAGCCGCCCTTATGCAGCTGGAGGAGCCGCGCGGACGTAACCAACCCGAAGCCTCGCGCGGCGGCCGGAAGCAGGGCAACGCGCATGCGCAGCATAGCGCCAAGCGAGGGCCGGTGACCGCACGATGGCGCCATCGCACCGCCAAGGCGCGCGGCTCCTGAGAGAGCTGCTGCTTCGGCAGCGCGGCTGGGCGGCGCGTAGGAACGGGCAGCGTACCGCGAGCATTTGTTCTGGTACCTGCAGTGCCTGTTTGTCGGTATAACCCCATCTTGGACAGCTGCAACTAAACCTGAGCATCCAGATTAACCTTGTGAAAAACAAAAGCTACAGTAAAGAGAGAAAATATCACCTCTTAACAAAAAAGTTTTATTCTGACTAAACAAAATGTACAATGCTTCTCAAGTGCTACGAGTTCTCTTCGTCTTCTGAAGGCTGCAGATCCATTCAGGAAGTGGAAGGTGTCTTATCCTGCAGCTCGGAACTACTTTTTGCCGGACTTCTTTATCCCACCGCTCGCTGCCAAAAGAAACCAAACCACCACGGCTCAGACATCGCAGGTGACACAGCTGTGACAGCTGTGACAGCCCCCACCAGGCTGCCCGTACAACCCACACCCCACTGCTGAATGGCTTCTGCATGTGGTACTGTTGGATCTTACGTGCTTTAACTTCATGTTGAAAACCACAGTCCCTCTTGGAACTAAACACACCCCCAAATTTACAAGGGCACAAAGTACTTCAGCAGTTCTTTGCTCCTCCATCGATTACTTCTTATACAACAGGCTGGTCAAATCAAATGGAAGGCTGAAGGAATAAAAGCATCAGTATTTCTACAGCAACCAGAGCCCCATTTGGGGCTGAAGCCCCAATGAAGCA